AGAGTATTTTGTTATCATTACCTTTGTTTCATACGCTTCTTGTCAGCAGCATATTTGTAGTTTGACAGGGAAATGATTTGCTATGTGACACACACACTATGTACACACACACACATTTCTACACACATACAGGTTACCCATAAGCTTTATAAACAAATACATACACTTTATATATTTATCTTTTTAGGGCTTCAAGCATCAAGCTCTCACAGTATCTACAGATCCTGAGCATCGCTTTGAACTTGCTCTTCAGCTTAGAGAACTAAAAATTGCATACCAGTTAGCAGTGGAAGCAGAGGTATGTACTAATACACAGTTTTAATAACTGATGAAAAGATCATGGGTGTTTCTATATGCATAACATAGGTCATGTTATTAAAGTTTTCTAAAATGCAGATTTTTTATTACTCATTTTGGTGAGGTTAATTTCTCTTTTGGCTTTTGTAAAAATAAATTATGTTAATCCTTGCATAAATTAAATGGATTACATTGGAGATAACATTAGCATCCTAATTTGCATAAGAAAAAGTGTTTTCATGTCTTCCTTGAGACCTTATCTGGGAGAGAAGAGTAAAGATAGTAGATAAACCAGTCTGGGGATTCTAAACAAGTGCAGATAGCAGTAATTTCCCAATATCCTAATCTAGTGAAAAAGATTGATTTCAAAGGTTTCTTCCATTTTGAAATACATGACAGTTTCACAGGTTTTGTATATTGAGATCTTCTAACTGTGACTTATGTCTGATTTATTTAAATCCAACTGTGATTTATTTACTATTCATTTCAGATGTACAAAATAAATTAACTATGTAAGATCACCCAAATGTGCAACATTTTGATTTGTGAGAAGTTAGCAAGTAACATATTTATTTATTTATTTATTTTTTAAGATTTATTTTATTGTACATACAGAATTGGGGTACAGGCCAGAGGCTCAGGGGTGGTGAGATGCTTCACCAGAGACAGAGTGGGGAGCAGAACAGGCAGATCTACGAAGTACACTGCTGAGGGGAGCAGCAGGCGAGCCAGGAGAGGTCTCCTGCGCCATGTGGTCACCTCCGGGGCAGGCGGGAATCGAACTCATGCGGAAGTGGCTTTAGCTTCTCAGTGCAGTGCTTTAACCTGCTGCGCCACCAGGGAGGGCCGTAACATATTTATTTTTACTAAATATTTAAGGACAGATAGTTTTCTACTTTTTCAAAAATATACTAAATCATGTGTTAGAATTGCAGGTGAAGTTTTAAATACAATGGATTGATAATAATTATTAATATATCATTGAACTTGATTTATGTATGAATAATTTCTATTTCATTTATATTTGTTATTCCATTCTTATTTTGGGATAATATATATAGATGTATCTATTTATAGCTATATATCTTCCACATTAACATGGTAATGCTCAAGTTAAATAGTGTTGTTAGAAATTCAGATGTTTATTTCAAAGGTATTTGAACTTGGAAACTCTCTTACAGTCAGAACAGAAATGGAAGCAACTTGCTGAGCTTGCCATTAGCAAATGTCAGTTTGGCCTAGCCCAGGAGTGCCTGCACCATGCTCAGGATTATGGGGGTCTGTTGCTTTTGGCCACTGCTTCTGGAAATGCTAGTATGGTGAACAAGCTGGCAGAGGGTGCAGAGAGAGATGGCAAGAATAATGTGGCTTTCATGAGCTACTTCTTACAGGGCAGGTAAGTATTAACTTAACCTTTAAAAGATGTCAGCGTAGTAACTAAAAGCACTTCTCATTGACTTTTGAGAGTGATTTTGGGAGAAGAGTGTAAAGAATGACCTCTGGAGAGAGGATTGCTATTGCCAGAGGGTGGGGGCAGTCAGAGGACAGTGCAGTTTGAACAGTGTGGTCCTCGCCTTTAGTAGCGGATGCTCTCCATACATCTGTCTGGATGTTCGCGTTAAATGAGCTATTCAAGATGACTCTACCTGGAGAAATGTTAAATCCCTTCCCCAGCCCTGCCACTGATAGCTGAGGTGTTTTATTTTATGGCAGGAGGCTATTGTGCTTCTCCAACTGGTACCTAGAGGACTCATAGTTTTGTCCAAAGTGGATAATTCTCATCTGTTCATGCCAAGGATAAAGGGTATGAGGATACCAGTGACTTTACATTTTAGTCCAACTATAGAACATAAAGTGTTATTTTATATGTAACATTGGTTGATCATATCACGAAACAGCACAAAAGTATTCATTTTACATACTAATTTCTCTTAAACACCATTTTATCGTAACTTGGAATGTGTACCTCAATATATGTAAGTTTATGTCCTTATAAGAATAGATCCACTATTTCTTATTCATGATTCAAAAATCTGAAGATTTTTTATAACTTGATGACTAAACTTGACCTTTACTCTGAAATAGTACTACTGTTCATTATTTTTAATGCCACTTGGTGCATTTTTATCAAACCTTTTAGTATTAATATTACTGTAGGATATTGTTGGACTTTTATTTGATGCTGATTACACTATATAACATACATGTATCACTGCCTAAAATCCAAATAATTCTTTATTCTGTAATACATTATTCATTTTATCAAACTTATATTAAAAAATTGAAATTAAAAAACAGGCACTTGGATAGCTTCCTACTGGGTATCACTGGATCATCCAGCACAACCAATGTCAAGAGACCACCCTTTACGTTCCCAATTGGAAAAGTGGATTTCCGCCTCCCCTCCTGAGGTCTTTAGACATGCTCATTTTTGTTGTCTTCTTTTATCTTAAAAAGCCCCTTTAGAATTTTCTTAGTTCTTAAAACCAGTTGAGATTGAAGGTGGTCAAAAAAGCTGTCTTATCTGTCATTATGATACACAACCAGTGATGATGAGTCAGTGACTCAAGTATAAAAAGGGGTGTACATGTGGAGCTAGGAAGGAAGTGCTGACTTTGCAACACTAAGTCCACAATTCTTTCATGTGTTAAGTGCCCATTGCATAGTGTCTGTTCTCTGTAACTGTACCTTCCTTTTTCATCTTTAGGCTTGATGCTTGCCTGGAGCTCTTGATTAGAACAGGCCGACTGCCAGAAGCTGCTTTCCTGGCCCGGACTTACTTACCCAGTCAGGTTTCAAGGTACAGACTTTTGATTTTAGGAATTAAGTGTTAATAGATAAAAACAGCACACTCAGTCAGCCTCCCTTTGTTCCATGGTATCTGTAATAGGGTGGTGAAACTCTGGAGAGAAAACCTTTCAAAAGTCAATCAGAAAGCAGCAGAATCCCTTGCTGATCCAACAGAGTATGAAAACCTTTTCCCTGGATTAAAGGAAGCCTTCGTTGTGGAAGAATGGGTGAAGGAAACACATGCTGATCTGTGGCCAGCCAAACAATACCCACTTGTCACGGTGAGCTCTGGGGTGCCCCGGCCTCATCTGCTGTGACTGCAGGACGGAAGTGCATTCATGGCTTCTGGTTTTGAAATGCACTATACATCAATTATAGTTAGGCCGAGACTTAAAGTTCATAGATGAATCACAACTTCAGAATATTTCATCTCACTGTTTTATTCTCCGATAGCCAAATGAAGAACGAAATGTTATGGAAGAGGCAAAAGGCTTCCAGCCTTCAAGATCTGCAGATCAACAGGTCAGTGAAAGCCTATATGAAATAATCTGGTTAAGATGTGTTTCTAAGTACCAGCTCTAGATTCCTAATCCCAATCAATCTTCCTTTGGGGACAATAAAGCAAATTCCTTTGTTTTTATATGTATCTATCCTTGGACTTTCAGGAACCCGGTGAGAAACCTGCTTCTCCTACTCCAGTTATTGTGGCCTCTCACCCAGCCAACAAAGAAAAGGTACAGACATCATCCCCGCACTGTCCAGTGGTCCCCAGTGCCATCCCTTCCCCCTGCCCTCCCATGGATGTCTGCAGGATGCACAGGCCTCTGCATTTTAAGTGATGTCATCACTTCCAGAGCAGGGGCTTTAGAATGGGAGGATGCCTTGTTTGACTTTTTTAGTTCTCCTTGGATCACGACTCAGAGATTACACAGTTCTTTATTACCCTTTTGCTTTTCTTCACAGACTTTACTTGAACTGGAAGTTGACTTGGATAATTTGGAATTAGAAGATATTGACACAACAGATATCAACCTTGATGAAGATATTTTGGATGATTGAATGCAATGCTTCCCACCTACCCGACTAAACAGATCATTATTATGGACAGGTATTGATCCCCTGCCCACAGTGCTTTGCACTCTTGAGAAACTCCTTAGATTTTTATATGTAAGCGCTGTGGACCACTGGGAGCACAGTGCCCTCCTCACATGAGGAGTTCATGTGCAGCATCTAAATCGCTATGTTTGTCAGCTAAGACAGACGTGGACTTTGATTTTTTTTCATATTCTCATTAGACTTTATCTCATAAAATGTTTTGAATTAAAGAAGATACTTCAAACTTTCTTTTCTGATAATGAAAATAGGTTTCTAATTTTAGAACACTTAACACAAAATTTGCATCGTACCCAGAGACCAGCCCACCACATTTTCTTTTCTTTGCAAACTAACTCGTATTTCCAAATATCATCCATCACATTTTTCGTAGAACTGAGTATCCTTACTACAATTCTCTAAACTTTTTTCTTTCCTACCTCACTGCTTATTCCCCTCTTTGTGTAAGTTAGAGTCTGGCTGTGATTTCCTCTAGCTGCCTGTTAATAGAATCACTTCTGAATCTCCTGCTCCTCTGACCTCACCAGTCTGGGCTCTGTTCATATGACCTTTGTCCTGTTTGCCAATTCAAAAGGCACAGTACTTTTATTTTCACACTGCACTTGTATGGAATTCCTAACCAGGCACTCAAATCTACCTGTAGCATAGGAAAGTGAATGTAGTAGTAGCAAGTTTTTGTGTTTCTGTTAAAGGCATTATTTGGAAGAAAAAAAAGTTCATAGGGAACTCCAAAATAGTACCTTTTAATTGTGACATTTCTAAACATTCAGCTCAGCATTAATAGAGAACACTATTTCATATTTAGTAAAGTGTTATTTATTAAAACAAACTTTTTCAGGATGATGCAGAGCGGCTAGAAAATGCTTCTTGATAAGTCTGCAGTGTTAATTCAATATATGCTCCCTTCTGTGCTTCTGTTTTTGCAAAGACCTGTTTAAATCGAAAAAAAGTTTAAAGCAATAGAAAATATACTATTTATAAGTTTTCAGTTTTGAGATATTATTTCTAACTAGAAATGATTCAGTTAAGGTCTTCCAAGTTTGAAGGTAACTTTTCCGATTACAAAATGTACACTATGTGGACTAGAAACTATCCAAAACAATTCAGGCAACACTAATTCTGAACACCAGATGTATCCTACTATGGCTGCTGTCTCTTAGGCTATTATCAGAAAAAAGTCTGACATGTACTTGCGCTAAATCAAAGCAAAAATCATTAGGCTAAAGATAAACAAACATCTGAAGGATAAGAGTTAGCAGACTAATTTTTCACTCTCCAGAAGCATTTTGATTAATCAGGTTTATCACAGAAAATAAACAATCCTGTAGTTTACTGTCCTTAGATGTCATCACTGGCAGTTTTATCCTGAGAAAACTTCTAAGTGCCGCACAGTGTGTATGAAATAATATTGGGATAGAGGTAAAGCCATAAAATTGTGTCTATTATGAGCACTAAAAGAACTGAAAAGTATGTAGTAATCCTCCCTGCCTGAAAAAAATCACCTCAACTCTCAACATTTTCAGTGAAATCTGTTAGTCCACGGTTTTAAGTTATGCGGTTCCAAAACAGTGATACAAGCTCCACCCTCTCCCCCTCTGGCTGCCAGGACAGCGATCACACTGGCACAGGGAGCTAGTGACCTGTGCTTCCTAGTCCTGCACCTGAGAGGCCTCTACTCCAAAGAGCAACAGCTGCTGCCCACTACGAGAACCTCTTGGACTCCAGCTGCAGCCCCTTTGCCCTTCTGTTTCAAGCATCCAGGATGAAGAAATACTATTTTCAAGACCACACAAATCTGTTAACATTAAACATGACTGATTCAGTTACCAAACAACAGCCAATGAGAAAAGCCCTTTACCTTAATTAAATGTAATCCCTCTGCAGCCTGCTTCTTGGCCTCCTGGGCTGACTGGCCACCTGGATGGACAGTATGATACAGCTGCACCAGGCTGATGGCATCTTCGACTCTGGAATGGAAGGGGGCTTAGTTACCAAGGGCTTTTCTTCATTATAGAACTACAGGTTTCACAATCCTATGAAAGTGAGGCAACTTTATACTAAATTACATTTCAAACTTTCCTTGGGCAAGGAAAAAAATAATTTAAGGGAAATATGTTAGTCTAGGCTTCCTACCAACTCCCAGAGAGATCAGGAATCACTACAGCAGTGCCAATTTAAGGAAGTGAATATATTAAAAAAAAAAAGTGACCGTATTTTTGGAAAGCAAGTATCACTTCTTTAACAGCATTCCCAACGGTAGGTGATTTCCGGGCTGGCCCACTTGAACAGCAGATGATAAAGTATTCCAACCCAGAAGGCAGGAGTACATCCTCAGCCCATGTAGCCAGAGGCTGGTTGGCGCGGGGTTGACCATGGGGCCATAGCCACTCTCCTATAAGAACATCAGCAGTGACATCTGGTGAGTTTTTATTGAGAATCCGAGTCGTGCTAAATGCCTCTAAAGGAGGTTGCCTACGAGTCCAAGAAAAGCTCCCAGGCCACCTGTCTATTCACAGGTACCCATTAGTTAAAAATGAACATTATACTGAAAGATGCACACCAGAAAGAAGGAAAGTCAGGTCTATTTCAGCAGTCTAATTTACTGTCACACAACTTTATGAGGATGCCAGAACAAGAATTCTTCAGGTATTTAACTTTCTAGAAACCTACAATTTTCTTTAACATTAATACTTCTCTAGCCTTTCCCAAACCAATCTGTTTCTCACACAGTCACGACCCTACTGTTTTGACACCTTACAGCTGAAGGAACACATATAGATAACCCAAAGTGCTGGTGCTTCTGCTGTGGTCACTTAGCCATTGGCTTCTATCTGGGGGTAGAGGAGAGGGTACCCTAATCCATTGCTTCTCCAGCCATCTTCAAATAGCTTAATAGGGGATAAAGGGTGGCTTGGTACTGGGAACAGCAAAGATTTACTCAGCCATGGTGACTAGGGAAACAATCCAATGCTTTGGTTCTACCCCAAGGCCCAGGTACCCTAAAGGCCATAATCTTAGGAGACCTGAGAAACCAGAGCTACTCATGCTGTAAAACTTCGCGGGGGGGTGGGGGTGGGGGGGGAGGATTAAAAATGTTCATTACAAATCTTACCATGCTTGTCATAATCTAATTAAATTTCAACAGATGTGACAAAATACACCACCCCATAAAAGTGAATCCCTTTATAGTTCAGGCATACAATTGGCTTGACAAGGTTTCTATACTTTGGAGTTAATGGTTAGGACATCATTACTTTCACATTGAAGTATAAAGTGCATCTCATAGAACAATTTAGCTTCATACCCAGTCTACATTTAAAAATTAAGAGTAAATAAATGTACATGTTCAACAAGATTTTTAAGAGTTTCAACTCAAAACTGTGGGGCTTGAAAGTCTGTAACAATTCTGACTCTCAGTTCAAGCCTGGTCTCTATTCAATGAAGACTTGCACCCTCCACCTTCTAACTTGGGTTTTACAGCAAGCTATCCTGCTAAAATTTATCCTATTAAAATTCCTACAGGACCTCTTTTACTTGTGGACAGGAAAGGTTAGTTAAGTATTCAAACCTCCCTCCCAGTGGGCATATATAAACTGCTTCAGATACAAAACTTACATATGATGATAATTATGGGCTCTCCCTGGTGGTGCAATGGGTTAAACCATAGTACCATGAAGTTCATGGCAGCTGCTTCAGCAGGAGCTCCCGGGCCAGGGAGCTGACCCACATGGCGCAGCAGACCTCTTCTGACCCACCCACTGCTCCCCTCAACAGTGTACTTCCTCGATCTACCTGTTCTGCCCCATGCTCTGCCTCTGGTGAAGCCCCTCATCACTCCTGCACCTCTGGCCTATCTATACCCAGTTCTGTATACATAAATAAATATTTAAAAAAAAATAATTACTACATCACATACTGGTACATCTTGATAAAGTAATTCTCAAAGTCATATATTTCTGTTCTGATTTTTACAAAAAATGTTTTCATAAAAGTTTCCGAAAATGGGCTCTCCCTGGTAGCACAGTGGGTTGAAGCACATTATGAAGCTCTCTGAAGCCACTACAGCACAAGTTTAATCCCTGGCCAGGGAGGACCCACATGGTGTGGCAGATGTCTCCTGACCCACCCGCTGCTACCCTTAGCAGTGTATTTCAGTAGATCTGCCTGTTCTGCTCCTCACGCTGTCCTTGGTAAATCCTCTCACCCACCACTCCTCAGGGAAATACGTTCATGAGGTGATACCACTTTTAATTCACCTAAAAGTCACCTTTGAGCATCCTTATGGCCACCAGCTAGCCCCTGCTTATTGAGATAAGGTTTATGTCTGAACTGGATTATACAACCCATGCTGGTAAACTGGGAGACCTGGAAATTAGCTACCACTGGGAATGCTATTTCTATGAGAAGTGGTGCCCTCTTTCCAAATTTGTGCTGTATTTCTGAGATAATACCTACAGAAGCTTCCAGTTCCAAATGTTTTATCTATATGAATGGCTCAGACTGCATAGAGGATACTCTTGCTTAAACACCTTGCAGACTGAAGATGGCATCGATGAGACTTATAAGTAAAGCAAAAGCTTTTCCTGAAAAGCTAATTCTATAAGCCATGCTAGTTCTGTTCTTGTCATTTTGATCTTTCTGACCCAAGCCACAGAAAGATGTTTAAGTTTGTCACAAGTACTCTTATTATTTCAACTTAGAAGCCTGGCAGCACACCAATTGACTTAAATGTTTACAAAAGCAAGGGATCTCAAAAGCAAGAGTATTTTCATAAACTATATGACTTTTACTGAAAAACTTTTAGAAGTAATCTTACCAGACAACAAGCACCCACCAAAGCTTATGTCTACATTTTTTATTTAACCCCCTTTGAATATCTGGGTTCATTGGTAGCAGGAACATCAGTGAGGTCAGGGGTATTTCGATATCCAAGATATACTGTAAAGATCTAGTCACTTTAATCAGTATTTCAAAAGAATATAGCCCTGTTTACAGAACACAACCAAGACTGAGAAAACTGGGTTATGCTAGAACAACAAACCCATAAATTAATGAAGGTAAATGTGAGCTATTCATCACTAGGTAATACAATATTATTACTGGGAAAGTAACAGCTTAAATACAGATTCACTGTGATGTTAATAAGAATTACTCCTTTCCTTATACGATCATACTTACAAATCTCTCTGAATCTGGTCAATAAGTAAACCATCAATGTTCTTCTTATTTACAAAATACCAAGCCATTCCACCAAAGTGTCTTGTTGAACGTAAAAGGTCATACTTTCCATGTTTATCTATATCTTCATAGGTCTGATGATGAATCTATCCACATATAGAGTACAAATTTTCAGAAACAAGAAAATAAGTGAGCAACATTACTGAACTCATTTACTAGCATGAATGTGCCCAGAACTAGGTCTATTTATACTGCCTCCACTGTCATTATTCAATAGATACAATTTGGATCAACCCTTGTAGAAATGTCTGCCAAATATGGCCATATCCATTACTTGTCAGTAGTCAAGCACTATGTATGAAGCACATGTTATTATATATAGGCCACTGGATGTAATGGACAACCATTTTTTGATCTCCAGGGAAAAAAAGAAATCAAGTATATTCTTTCACTTCTCTGTTCCTTGCTTCTAACCCATCAGCTACCCCAGTGTAGACTGATGTTCTTAAATGAAGACTGAGTATATTATTGTGTTCAAAAGGTTCTTAAAGGTGTGTTGATCTAAGTCTAGGTAACTCAGCCGCCAACTGAGGTCACCAGTGATGTGGCGCCTTCTACCTTATTAGCTCAATCTTAAGCCACTCCCCCATACGTACAAGCCAACTTACCCATGGCTTGTACTTTGTTTGCTGCCTGTTGTTGGCATTCCCTGAAACTGAAACACCCAACTCCATTTGCTACAATCAATGTTTTCTGTCTCTGGACCCTCTTCAAGACCCTTTTGAAGCCTGTCTTGAGAGTACTTTGTACTCCTTTGAGTCTCTAACATCTTAATTGACTGTACACTTACCTAGCACCCTTCACCACAATCACTTCTGATTGCAAGCTTTGACACAGCATACTCTATCCTAGTTCATGTCATCACCTATACACCTATAAAAACTTACACACAGGCTCTCGCTGGTGGCGCAGCGGGTTAAAGCACTGCACTAAGAAGCTCAAGCCACTTCCGCATGAGTTCGATCCCCACCTGCCCCGGAGGTGACCACATGGCGAGGCAGACCTCTCCCGACCCGCCCGCTGCTCCCCTCAGCAGTGTACTTTGTCAGTCGGCCTGTTCTTCTCCCCACTCTGTCTCTGGTGGCTCCTCCCACCCTCCACATCTCTGGCCTATACCCCAGTTCTGTATGAATAAATAATAAACTTTAAAAAAAAACACACACACACAAAGGCACTATATTATTGCTTATTAAACTGAATTGCAAGATATAGACATTAGTTTGGTAAATTTCTGTAAATAACTTGTTTCTGTAAGATAAATTAAAAGGAGAATCATAGGCTTTGCTGTGAAGTTAGGATCCAAACTTACTACTTGCGCAACTTTCGGCAAGCTCTTATATTTTCTAAGCTCTCTCAACCGTAATTAACTCAAGGGTTGCTGTGAGGAGAAAGTATCTGCTATACATCAGGTACTCATCAAGAGATGTCAGGTATTTCACTTTCGCTTCTATTCACCCTGTGTCAAAGCTTATAACCAAACTCACTGTGCTAGATTAAAAATCTAACTCATAACCATACTTAAGCCCATACTTTACAAACCATATAACATACTTACTTTGATATACTCAGCAGAATCTGGCTCAAACTGGGCAACAGAGAGATTAAGGACATCAACATGCCGGTCCTGGCTGTACATGGTCTAAAACACCACAGCAGAATTGGAATTAAATGAGATAAACATGAAATTCAGCACCTATCCCTGATGCCATGATAAGCCTGCCCATCCCATTACAGGCCGTGGCTGTGCTCTCAGGGTACACAGAAAGACCATCAGTTTTGTAACTGTCAACCAGGATTCAAATCTCAGCTGAGCCATTACTAGATAAACAGATCACTAATGGAGTTATTAGAAATATTTTTCTGTATTTATGTCAAAGTTATGCCCAGCAGCATGAAAGTCAACTAGTTCAACAAAGAGGTCATCAACACTGCTGTTATGAAACCAGTTGCCTTACCTTGAGATTTTCTTCCTTGAAAATTATTGGTGTTAAAACTCTACGACCTTCTTTTGGGAAATAAATTTGTATCATCCGGTCTCGTTCTTCCCAAAAGGCTTTGCGTAGTGTGCCAGTTGGTTCTCTGACAACGATAAAACGTTCCTGAAACAGAAAACATAATCAAGGATGAGTTTGTGAGGTCTTTATTTCAAGTTGCGTTGACCCACTAAACACCATTATAAGAATAATCTGTAATCAACATAAAATTCAGGCAGAATCATAAAATCCAGCTGTATATTTTATAATTTTAAACATCAAAGATTTGGCAAGAGTTGGTCATTCATTCATTTCTGCTGTGCCTCTTAATCAAAAATCTACAATGAAAGTATTCACTAAGTGTCAACTATGGTTTAACACAGAAAATAGTTAAACTGAGCCTGATCTGAGAGTTATCTAAATTCCATTTCGGAGAAAAGAAATGCTATAAGACCTTTACAAATCCATTTCCCTATCCCAAACTCTCACCCAAACAGATTTCACTACTCTACGGATCTAGGGTAAAAGTCCCTGGGATAAAAGTAACAATCTTATGAATGTGAAGTGTTAATTCTGCACCTCTAGAATCCCTCGTGAAACACAAATATGTCAAAAACTGGGCCACATGCCTTTGACGTCGTTTTCTACAAATCACATACCATGGGACTGCTTCCTCCTCTGAATTCTAACCACTCTGTACCATTTAACTGGATATTTACCGTGAGCAAGACTTTTGACAGTTTTCAGAAACTGTCCAAAAATTGGAAAAGGGCAGGAAATTAGTCTTTGTAACACCTAGAGTAACACAGAGCTCTGAAGAAAGCAGATACTTGATACAAATCTCATTCATGTTTAAATTAACCAAATAGCAGTGATCCCCAAGTTTTTAGTAGTTAAAGTCTGAATGTGTTTTGAGGATGATATAATTTAAACTTTCATCAAGCACAGCAGATGGGGGGAAAAAAAGCAGATGCTAAAATAACACAATTTTTCCTCAAACAAATTTTGGTAATTTTAATCCCAAGTTCCTTTTTACCTTTCAGGTTATATAATAGAAAGTGCCCACAATCAGCCTTCAAAGCACACCAAAATCATAATAAAGCACTCCAAAACAATTAAAATAAAACTCTGTGACTGGTGTTCATTATATCAAGTATACACAAGTGCTGAAGTACAGTCACAGACTGCACAAATCATGTCTTCTAACCATAATCGTATGATAAAGAGATAAACAGGTTGCATTCTACTGCATTTTTGTGGGTCTAATTGTAAATTAATCTTTACTTGAAAAGGCTCAAACAGGAAAAAAAAAAAGTATATTTTTAAAGTACAAGTGTCTTCTGGAGCTGGCAATCAGGGAAGAAAAGCTAGAGAACAAAACTACAACAGAAAAAGCAGTATGTCTGCAAACTCTAAGGAACCCTTACATTCTTACTGCAAATTCAGGGATGTGAAAATCCTTTGGAATTTTGGCCTCATTAAAAATTAACTGAAAAGAAAACCCCCATCACAAAGCTTCAGCTAAAGAATCAGTGTAACTTAGGCAAAGACTTTCCATTTCCCACTGCCTTGATGTTATCTGCCTTTTTGTTACTTAGGGTGGGTTTTTGTCTTAAACCTTTGTTCTGTCTCAACCCTGTCTCTTTCTTTACAATCAGTTTGTAATATGGTTTGTATTTCTCTTCTTCCTTATGCTCCATCTTTTAGAAGGTCTCACCCAGTCATGGGAACCCTGGTTTGGAAACTTCAAATATAGCTGAATCACATAATGTTGACCATTTATCCTAGGCCCGCATCCACACTACTCCAAATAAAGATTATTTTGCTATTTACTAGACACATACTCACCCGGTGTGGTATGCTATACGATATATCTGTAAACACGTATTTAGTTGTTTCTGTTCCTTCCAAAATCTTATCCTCAGCTAATACATCATTTATTGGTGGTCGCTCTTCGAGAACTGGAGGCATTTTTAATTGCACTTTAGCTGCTTCAACTGCCTGTCTTGTAGCCTGATGAAATAATATATTTCAGTCACAAGGTTACAAATCAAAAGATCATCTAAGAATTGCAAAAGAGAAAAGGCTATAGTCATGAATTAGTGAGTAAAAGTCAGAAATGGCTCTCATGCTTTGGACTTTGCCTCTGGGGTATATCTAAATGACCAGCCACAAGCTCAACCATTCTCAAAACAGCAAAGGAAAGCTCTGAGTAGAAGCAGGCCTCAAAAGCTTGAAATAGTATAAATTATTGCACTTACTGGATACTTACTATGTGCCAGATATTGTTCAAATACTCTTAATGTACTTGGTTTATTTTATGTCCATAAATACTTTATAGTAGTGCTATTATTATCTCAATGTTGATAGGTTCTTGGAAACTAAGTGAAGTGATATTTAAGGAAAGCATGTCCTTGAATAACATTGTTTTGTTCAATGTAGGTGGGGTGTTTTTTGGTTTTTTCCCTCCACTTCATACTGAAATGATGTTGAACAAAAGATATTATTCAAAGACCTGCTGTAAATTACCAGGAAGCTGCAGTACTTGGATTTGAACCCAGGCAATTCAATGGCAGAACCCATGCTCCTGTTCTTAACCAGTGACCACAAAGCTGCATGTATACTGCTAACAATGGTTACCTCTAGATAAGGGGGTCTTTCCCCCTTTGTATGATATACTATTCGAAACTGAATTTTTCAGAATAACTTCAAATTATGTTTGAAGTAGAAAGCAAAAATGTTTCATATATTCATCTATCAGGGTGTCCTCCACAAAGCACTCACTAGTGACTGTGGAACAGAAGCTATCGATATTTGGAGGGGGCCTCTGGAAATATCACTTAACCCTTTAAAGAAAGGCATTCTACTACTATCCCTGCATTTACATACCTCTTCCAATTGTGCCTGGGTCATCAACTTATAGGTTGGTGGCTTCAGTTCTTGTATAGATGGCTTAAAAATCTTCTGCAAATTCAAGCCTGTCATCTTGATTAGTAAGTTTTGAATTTCCTCATCCATAAAAGTAGGTTTCTTGATCTCTAAGCTACCAGATTCTGTTAAAATGGATTTTGGTAAATAAGATAACAAAAGTAACAAGCCAATAAGGCCTCTAAATAGAAAAATCAGTTGATAATAGAAATGATTAGCACAATGTCGACCTCAATATACATAAGTCTAATACAATCAGATTCACTCATTCCTTCATTTAAAGTTTGGTAATGACGATACTGTCTCTACCCAAATGGAACTCAAAGTCTGGTAGAGAAAGTAACAGGAGAAAAGTAATTAATGTAATAATAACAGTGGTTGCTACCATTCACATACCTATATGTCAGGTATGGCATATTTTTAGGAATCTTTTCAACCCAGAAAATAAGTATAGACATCCCAATATTATAAATGATGCTGGATCCTACCTACAGACAACAAGTTATTAAGTGATGAAGTTAAGACTTAAAACTAAAGTTTTCTGGACTCTCCCTGTTGGCACAACGGGTTAAAGCACCACATTATGAAGCTCTCTGCAGTCACTGCAGCATGAGTTAGATCCCCCTGCCAGGGAGCTGACCCACATGGCATGGCAGACCTCTTCTGGACCTGCTTGCTGCTACCCTCAGCAGTGTACTTTATCAATCTGCCTGTTCTGGTCCCTATTCTGTCTCTAGTGAATCTTCTCACAACCACACCACTGGCCTGTACCCCAGTTCTTTAAGCATAAATAAATAAAAGAAACACTAAAGTTTTCTGGCTGCAGAGCCTACATCAAATCCAATCTACCAAGATGCCACTCAGTGTAAGTGCTACATACAAAGGAGGCATGGGGGGGGGGAGGGTAACTACAGAGGAAGGAACTACACATAGTGAGAGCAGGGAAATGCATGGTAGGATCAAAGAAAGCTTCCCTGGGGCAGAAAAGGTCACAGGAAAAAAAAGGAAATTCTAGGTCAAGGGGTTGCACAGGAAAAAGAAGCCTGGATCACTCGACATAATGCTGAAGAGACACGTAGTGTCATGGAAGAGCCTTGGACAGAAGAGAAGCAGATCTCAGCTCTGCCTCATGTAGTCTATTCCTTTGCCTAACCTTTATTTCCACTGCCATTAGGGAAAAAAATCCTTACTATCCACCTCTTTGTAAATGCTAGTGTCCCTTAGGGTTCTGCACCACATCTTTATCTTTTTTTCTCACATTTTGACAGTTTATGTCCTCACCACAAGTAATTTTAGTTACTTCTCTATAATAGAATCTCTAAATCTGAATCTCTATCTACGATCACCTTCTATTTAACTACCCAATGGACATCTCTGTACTTCAGTATTGCCAAAGCAGAATTCTTCTATTTTCTTCTGTCTCAAACCTACTTTTCCTACTATTCCCTATCTAGCACTCCCCAATAAGTCATGTGGGCAAGAAACCATCAATCATTCCTGACTTCTCCTTTACTTGCCACATCAAGCCAGTAAGCCGCTGTAATAACAGTAATGATAACAACTGGTATTTGTTGGATACTTACTGTTTGCCAATACTTACTGAGCTAAGCACTTTACGTACTTCGCATTTAATCCTCACAACCCCATAAATACTATGACTATCCCCATCTGCCAAAAAAAAAAAAAAAAGAGAGAGAGAGACAGAACATGCTGTCTGTTATGCCCCCTAAATTTTTCTTTAATCCTCCACTGCTACTACCACAGTCAAAGCCATCCTCATTTAGTTCTTTACTCTCCTAACTCATCTTTCTCCTTCATTCTGACTCCACTATGAACCATTCTCTACGGAACAACCAGAGAAAACTTTAAAATCTAATCAAATAACAAAAGATTAACAAAACTAACAATTGGTTCTTTGAAAACATAAATAAAATTGACAAACCTTTAGCAACACTAACCAAAGAAAAAGAATCTTGATTCAATACAATGGAGACATTACAACAAATAACAAGAAATACAAAGGATCATAAAGAGCGAACTATGGATGATTATATGCCAACAACTGGAAAACCCAGAAGAAATGGGGAAATTCTTAGAAACACACACTATCAAGACTGAATCAGCATCACATTAAAAAGATCAAGTGGGATATATCCATGGGATGCAAGGATGGTTCACATAATGCAAAGTAATATGACACATCATATTCAAATGAAAGGGGGAAAATCATGACTATTTCAGTAGATGCAGAAAAAAATGACAAATGCAATATAATTCAAAATAAAATAATTCAGAACAAATTAGCATAACCTCAGCATAACAGAGGCCATATATGATAAAGCCTTAGCTAACAATCAGTTTGAAAGGTTGAACACCTTTCCTCAAACATCAGTAACAATAAAAGGTTGCCCAGTCTTATTAATCTTATTCAAAATACTAGAAGTTCTAGTCAGAGTAATAAGGCAAGAAAATAAAAGGCATCAGACTTAGAAAGAAATAGTCATGTATCACTAAACACTGTGGTCAGTAATAGACCACATATAAGACTGGTTTATACACGCTATATAATAAAGCCTAAGTGTGTAGTAGGTTATACCATCTAGTACTGTGTAATTACATTCTAGATATTCATACAACAAAATCACCTAAAGATGCATTTCAAAAATGTGTGTCTGTCACTAAGTTATGAATAAATAACAGATGACATGATTTTATTTATAGAAAGTCCTATAGAAATCCACACACACAATAAAAACTAAGAGCTAATCAATAAAGTCACTATAGTTGCAGATTAAAAAATTAACATAAAAGTCAGCAACCTTTCTACACAATAACAACAACAAGTTAAAGAAATTAAGAAAATGCTCCTGTTAAAAACATCAAAACAATAAAATACTTAGTAATAAACTTAACTAATGAATGATCTCCACATTGAAAATTTTAAGACAATGCTAAAAGAATTTGAAGAAAATACAAATTAAGTAGGAAGATATTCTGTGTCTATGGTTAAAATACCCATCATATCCAACAGCATTTTTCACAGAAATTTATATCATAATACCCTGAAAAACCAAAGCAATCCTGAAAAAGAAGAAAAATGGAGAAATCAGGCTTCCTGATTTCAAGCTATAAAGAAAGAAAGTAATCAAACAATATGATAACTGGCATAAAAACAGACACATAAACCAATGAAAATAAAGCTGTGAGCCCAGAAATAAATACCCATGCATGTAAGGACAACTAATTTTTGACAAAGGAGCTAAGAATATTCAATGAAGTAAACACAGTCTCTTCAATAAATGGTGTTGGAAAAAAACTGAATATTCATATGTAAAGGAATAAAACAAACCCTAAGTTACACCATCCAACTGAAATGTATTAAAGACTCAAAAGTAAGACCAGACATTATAAATGTCCTAGAAGAAAACACAGGAAAAAGAATTCCTTGACATGGGTTTTAGCAACGATCTTTTGGATGGCTGACACCTCAAGTATCAGCAACAAAACAAAAACATTTCAAAAGTAGAATAACCTCAACTTAAAAACTTCTGCACAGCAAATGAAACAATGCACAAAACTAAAAAGCCAACTAAAAAGTGGCTAATAGTAAAAAGAAAATTTTCGATCTACACATAGGACAAGAGGTTAATGTCCAAAACACACCACGAAGTCTCAACAACAACAAAACTCCAAATAATCCAAGACTGGTAGTTTCCACTCTTAAAAAGGGCCTGGCACTCCATTTTTCCTTCTCAGAAGGAACATCTTAGATCAAAGCTTTCAAAGAACATTCCCTGGGCTGCCAATAATCCAATTTAAAGGACTTTAATAGACATTTTCCCAAGGAAGGTATATGAATAGCTGACAAGTACACACAGAGATGCTCAAAACCACTAATCATTGGAGAGTTGCAACCAAAGCCACAAGGAGGTATCACCTCACACTTGTACACAATACAAAAATAAATAAAATAAAAAAAATAAAAAACAAGTGCTGGTGATGATGTGGAGAAAGGGGAGAACTTGTGCACTTTTGGTGGGATTGCAAGTTGATAAGCCATATGGAAAACAGCATTAAAAATAAAAAACTGAATTACCATATAATCTAGCAATTCCATTTCTGGGAATCTAGTTGAAGGAAACAAAATTATGTTAAAGAGATGTCTGTATCACTGTGCTCATAGCAGCATTATTTACAATAGCCAAAACGCGTTAAAAACTAGTGTTCATCGGCCCTCCCTGGTGGCGCAGCAGGTTAAAGCACTGCACAAAGAAGCTTAAGCCACTTCCCCATGAGTTCGATTCCCGCCTGCCCCCAGAGGAGACCACATGGCGTGGCAGACCTCTCCTGACCCGCCCGCTGCTCCCCTCAGCAGTGTACTTCGTCAATCTGCCTGTTCTGCACCCCACTCTGTCTCTGGTGAATCCTCTCACCCTCCGCATCTCTGGCCTGTACCCCAGTTCTGTATGAATAAATAAATAAATCTTTAAAAAAAAAAAAAAACTAGTGTTCATCAACAGATGAATGGACAGAGAAGTGTGTGTGTGTGATGGAATATTATTTGGCCTTTAAAAGGAGGGAAAGAATGAGGAAATCCTGCCATTCGCAACATGGAGGGACCCTGCTGGCATTACGTCAAATCAGTTAAGTAGACAGAAAGACAAGTATTCTGTGATCTCACTTGTATGTAGAAACTTAAAACTTTTTTTTTTTTTAAGAAAAACAAAGAGATAAGATCTGTGAGTTCCAGAAGCAAAATAGAGATGGTTGAAGGAAACCAGAATTGGAGACCAAAAGGAAAATATGTACAGTCGTAAGTACTAGAGCTGTAATAATATGATGACTTGTTAACAACTGTATGGCATATAAGAAAGTTAAAGGAGTAAAACCTAAGCACTTTCATCACAAGGGGAAAACTGTTCATCTGTGTATATATGGTTGTTAACACTTACTGTGGTAATAATTTCACAATATACATAAGCAAAATCACCATGCTGTACACCTTACACTTACACACTCCTGATATCAATTATATCTCAATAAAACTGAGAACACTTTTCATTTTAACTGAAGTGATATTGGGATACCCCTATCAAGTATTACCACTACAGTGTATCCACCACCAACTCACCCTATTCCAACCCCACGGGGCACTGTGTTTCCTTCACTCTTTGTTCTTAAGAAATGTAATCAAGATCATCCTCATGCTTTAAAACTTACCAAATGACTTGCAAAGTATTTTACAGAAGGCTAAAATGGCCTGCTCTGTCCCCCACTAGACAATAAGCTCTCCCAAGGCTTGAACCCCATCTTGTATGCTGGCACTAAGGGTCCCTTATAGTACCAGGCACATACTGATGATGTGCAGCACTTCCCCCTCCTCAGACAATGTCATCTACTCCACTCTCCCAGTTTCCCCACCCCATCTTTATCCTGTCTTTGAAAACTTATCTCTAACTGCATACTCAATACTGAAACTGAAATCTCAAAGGCACCTCAAATTTATGATGTCCAAGCACACATTTAGTTGCCTCCCTTTCCAAGTTTTGTTTTCTCCACCTCCTCTCTGTTTCTTAACTTAAAAACTCTTACTAGAATTAATCTTCTCTATGTTGGTATAAGGGGAGCTACTCTACACTCAAGAGCTCAAGCCAGAAGCTCAAAAATCAACACTGGTTCTTTCAAACCTATATCCAAAGCTATAATCAAGCCTTATTAACCCTACTCCCAATGTGGATTCAAATTACCTGGACTTTTCATTTCTGGACTTTTGCATATGCTGTTTCCTCTGCTTAAACTGCTTGCCTGTTTGTTTTTTTCCTGGCAAGGTTAACCAGATCTCAACTTTAGCTTTCTTTCATGAAACTTTTCTTGCGCTTTCAACTTCGTATTGAATCCCAGGGCAAGTTAGATTTAGACAGCTTCGGAACAGTACAGACAGGGAATGAGGGAGAGTAAAAGAAGCTTCTGAGGTAAGGGCAGAGAAATCCAGGAGGATGGCTAATGAGGGCAATATTAAGGCTAAGTGGGGCATTAAATTTTCGGAAACCTTCAACAGGGGCGGTAAAAAGAGAAATTCTAAGAGTTGGGGAAACGGGCACATCTACCTGAAGAAATATAGACGCTAGGATAAAGAGCCCATCACAAAATAGGATGGTGAGATTTTAGACTAGAGAAAAAGGGCTTAAACATTTCCTGGACACGGGCTTCTTTGCTCCTCCCAGACACAGCACACCTGGGAGTCCTTGTTTGCCTCCTTTTTTAATTATTCTTCACTTTCTTGGATAAAGTTTGCTTCTCTCTCCTTACTTATCAAAAAATCCTGCGAATTCCTTATGGCTTCGTGGGACAAGAACCTGTGATGGTTCCAGGGCTAAATTGATACAACGCACTGGCTACAGTAAGATCCCCACTCTTATTGGCATTCCCTTATCCCAGATCACAACGCGCTGCCACTTCCCCTACTGAGCGATGAGATCCTTCAAGGAAAAGTTCTGTTAGTCGTAAGTTAACTGTATTCTCTGAACCTAGCGTGGTGCTTTGCAAAAAGCAGCGTTCAGGCGGGCACTGCTGGCTCTCTCAGGGAACGAACAAACGGAGGCAAGGACAGATGCTGCTGAGACAGAAGAAAGCCCGGTGGGTCTTAGGACGCGCTGCTGGGGAAGCGGGGACCAGCGGTGGTCTGTATCCCAGAATGACCCAACGGACACCTGCCAATCACTTACCGGCTTCGGAGGAGAGCCGACGGCGTGACATTCCCGCTCCATAGGGCCCAGGCAGCGGCTGAAGCAGGGTGTCCGTCTGGAGCCCAGCTCGGACCCGCAAAGGAACCCTTTCCGTGCCTCGAGAACCTACCAAAATGCTGCGCAGCGACACCGACACTCTGAGCGGCGCCATGATTATCTGAGGTCACTTACACGTGAAGCGGCAGGAAGTAATTCCGGTCTCGCGTGGCTCGCAAGGCATTCTGGGAAATGTAGTCTGGATAAGGAGGAGCCCGGAAGCGACGATTTCTGGGATTTCTGTAGTTCTTGTTTCTTGTAAACACCTTGTTCACGCGTATCAGCTTTTTATGGACATAGATTTTTCTGTGCATTTTTCTGTGCAAAAATAAAACTTACACTATCTTACCTGTGTGCTCTTTTTCCTGGGCTTTTCCTTCATTCCATGCTCTTAGTAGCAAATTTGCATTTCCTGCTCAAGTCTTTACTCCCACGCACAGGTTTAAAATCTGAGGGTCTCATGGACTTTTAGTTCAAACTTCTCAGACAACTCCCCCGCACCAATAGGAGCTGGATTTTCAAACCCTGATTTCCACCACCACTTTCCTCCTCCATCAAGTCATATACCTTATTCTATCTCCAAAACTTACTCCTTTCTTTCATAGCCCCTTTTCAGTTTGTAATTATTTTGTTCATTTACCTACTTTAACTTTTCTCAACCCATGAAGACAATGACTGTATATTTTATATCACCTGGGAGGTGTACAATTATGCATGGCAAACATGTGTTGAATAAATGACTAAATAGATGAATGATTAAGCTATTATTTTCCTCCTAGCCCCAGGACGTGCTGATCCTACCCTACTCTGGATTGCAGATCAGTGCCTATGCTAAGAATTTATCCCAAGTTTTGGTTAAAGAAGGGGATTAGGTAAACACTTGCTTGAATTAATTAAACAAAGCAGAATCACCTTCTAACCACACCTCTTTGCCTTGGGCTGCCCAGCTAGAGGTCTACCTGTGAACTTATCCCCTATTTGAATAGGGAAAGTAAAAGACCTAGGTTTGCTGCTGCATTAAGTCCTGATTGCTAGCCTGTGCTTCTCAGTCTGGTCTCACACCTAGGTGTTAATAGGTGATAACAGGAGTCAAGGAGTGGCAGTGGTATGCAAGTGAAGCAGTGCTATAGTAGTGCTATACAGGTCAAAGGAAAGTGCCAACATAGGGGACAGGCCACTGCTATGGTTCTTATCCCTGCACTCAATTGCAAGACCACACAGGCTTAGGGAACAACCACAACAGGGTTTACTTAACAATAACCCCCAACACAAAAGCCACTCATGCAAGATGGTGCTGCCCTGCCAATGAGGGCATAGAGATGCTGGCACAATAGCAAGCAGTGAGCCAGGATCTAATTCACAGTGCAAGCTGGAGGTGCTCACAAATAAGGTGGCAAAAGTAACACTGCAACAGGCTACAGCAGAAGTCTGAAGGCCAGACTGAATGGTGCAGAAGTTCCAGCATCAGGAGGCAGTGCTGGATGATGAGAAGCAGTGGATAGCTTTCTAAAGTGATCTGGACTCAGAGTGCCAGTTACCTGTCACCAGTACTGGGTAACACTAGCCAATATTGCCAATCATCACCAGGAGGCAGAGTGAGACATACCAGCGTTAACAGCTTTTTGTGAGTTGTTGGCCTACACCAGACAATAAACAGCTTTGAGACACCAGACCAGGGCCAGTGGCGTTCTTTGCATGCAATGTCAGAAGCAGGGTTGGAGGCAGATAGAGCGGCTAGGTCTCCAAAACAGTCTACAGAGGCCAAGTGCAATATTCTTATTTCTTCGGAGGTCAGATGCTGGCTATCACCCTGCCTTATTATCCCACTTCAAGTTCCCCACCCTTCAGGACTGATTGAATCACGTTTGATCCTAAGTGACTGACTGGCCCAGTTAGCATCAATCAGCTCATTTTTTACTTTTTTTTTTTTTAAAGATTTATTTATTTTATTCATACAGAACTAGGGTACAGGCCAGAGATGTGGAGGGTGAGAGAATTCACCAGGCAGAGTGGGGAGCAGAACAGGCAGATCAACAAAGGTACACTGCTGAGGGGAGCAGTGGGCGGGTCAGGAGAGGTCTGCCACGCCATGTGGTCACCTCCGGGGCAGGCGGGGATCCAACTCATGCAAAAGTGGCTTGAGCTTCTTAGTGCATTGCTTTAACCCGCTGCGCCACTAGGGAGGGCCCATTTTTTACTTTTTAATCTGAACAATTAACTAATGAGTTGAGCTTGAACCTGATTGGTGCATTTCAGCTCACATCAAATTGGTCCTTTTACAATCCAGGTGCCAAAACGGGAAAACCTGGTGTTTTCACATACCAGCGTTGCCTTGACCTCAGGGCAAGCTCATGGGCTTCCCCTGCAGCAGGGCTGGGTGTAATAATGCAGCAAAGGGGTGTGGGGTGGGGAGAAGACCCTCAGCAGTGCTGGACACAAGTCCAGGTGTTGCTGCAGGGTGGCCTCTGCTGGGAAAGCGCCCTGTTGGCTCAGGACGCCATGAGTCTCGACTGCTTGCTTCTCTAGGGAGCCATGGTGCTGGCCCAGTGGGGTACAATTCTCCCTGCAGACCTGCACAAGGGGCCGCAGGGCTTAGGGTTTACCACTGCAGCCCTGTGATAGCCGCATGCCCTGGGGTGGTGTTGTAGGAGAGGAGAGCTAGGGCTCTGGAGACTCCAGAGTTAAGCTGGGGAAGGAGCTGCCTGCAGGGAGAGAGTTTGCTTGGCTGGTGACAGGGAAATGCCCTCTCCTCCTTTATGGCTGCTACCAGCAGCCTATGCCAGCCTGCCCTCCAGCTGTTCTTGCTGGAGCCAGTAGCACCAACAAAGCCTTCACATCCACCACTTATGCAGTGGGGAAAAGGCAATTTTGCCCTGCAGCTTGGGCTGCAGGGATCTGGTTTCACTTTGACCCTATAGAGCACTAGACAGTACTATTCACAAGTGTCTCCCCTCCCGTGCCCTCGCTCTGAGAGTTGATCACCTACTTCTTCTCCAGAGGCATAGTTGAGAAAACATGTTGCAGTGGCTAAATGTTTTCCTATTAACATCCCCCGACAGAATGACTGAACAATGAGTAGATATGTGATGTAAGTCAGAATGGGCTGTTGTATTAGTTCCCTGTAGCTGTCATGACAAATTTGGTGACTTAAGACTTATTCTCTCAGTTCTGGATGCTGGTGGTCTGAAATCAACATCACTGGCCGAGAGCAAAGCCTGAGCAGAGCTGTCCTCCTTCAGAGGCTTAGGGAAGAATCTGTTTCTTCTCCCTTGCAGATCCTAGTAACTGTAAGCATTCCTGGCTGATGGCTGCCTCATTCCAATCTCTGTCTCCATCTTCTTATCACCTTCTCTCCTGTGTCCAATCTCCCACTCTGATACAAAATAGGTATAATAATAGTGCTGACATTGCAGGCTCTGAGGATAAAGTATTTTCCGAATGGTATTTCATAAATAACATCATTGCATTTAGGGCCCACCCAGATAACCTTCCCAGCTTAGCATCCATAACTTAATTACTTCTGCAAAGACCCTATCTCCATGTAAGGCAACATGCACAGGTTCCAGGGATTAGGAGGTAGATAACTTGGGGGAGAGGACTACCCCAGCTGTCCAGGCAACAGATGATTTTCTCTCAATATTTCAAACCAAGAAACACAAAACATAATTAATTGATGGAAGATGTTTGAAGAGATTTACTATTTAGAGTTAGGTTTGCCACAGTCTTTTTCAACAATAATGAGTGAGAAATCTAGCCAGTCCACAGAGAAATGCAGGAGGATGGGGCTGAAACAGAGGTGACACAGCACATGAGAAAGAGACAGATGGAGAAAGTGGTCTCTTTCATTAACCTCCTCAGGCTACACTGAATTTTACTGACATGGAGTAGCCAAAATTCCTGTTAGCTCAGGCAGATACCCATATATTTCAGAGCGGCATTCCATCCTCTACAAAATGGGTATTATAATAATAGTACTGAAATTGCAGGCTCTGAGGACAAAGTGTTTTCTGGATGGGACCTCATAAAGGGGGAGCAAAGAGATCATACGACAGTAAGTCAGTTGCTTTCTGAATATCTTTAGAAGAACTTTGAAGAGTTACATATTTAGCAGTTAAGAGTCTCTGGTTGCAAGTGACAAATCCTTCCTGATTAAAACACAGATGGAAGTGATGAAAGGATGTTGATTATCTCACAGAATTAAAGGAAAAGCTGAAGTCAAGCCTTAGCTTTCAAGCCAAGAACTTGAAGTATGAAAGCTCTTGGTGCCTCACCTCTTAAGGAGGCTACTGTCAGAATGACTTGGTTCCAACTACATGCTTTCCATCAAATTCATGCTTTCCATCAAATTCATGCTTTCCCTCAGTTCCTGGTGAGAGAAGCTGATTGGTTGGGTGGGTCTTATTTATCCATAGGGAACGAGGGGGCTCCCTCTGGTGGACACCCCATTACACCTTGCACCTGGTGGTGGGATTCACCAGATGGCCTCTGGAGAGGGATTACTAGCTTAGTGGGACAGGAATGAGTCCTATTACTTACAAAATAAAAGTATAGTAACATTTCAATTACCCAACTTCAATGACTTTACAGGGTCTGAATTTTTTCATCATTTTCCTAAGGGACTCAGATTTTGCCCTGGAATTTTAGAATTCTTCAAGATGAGAGTGGGGGAATAGAAATCAGGAAAAGAGATGGAGAAAAGTGGAGGAACTGAGGGGGAAGGGTAACAGTCCAGACAATCCAGGTACCTTTACATCTTCAACAACTCCCTTGCAACATCTATACAATCCTCCAATCATATCTTTGAATTCTTCCCAAAACATCAAATCTATCCCAGTATCATTCTCATCCAGAGTACTTTTTCCCTGCCCCTATTTAGACTCTAAACTCCAACATGTTGCTACAAACAACAACTTTTATGTGCAAATTCCCTTCATGTGTTGCAAAGGGACCAGTATCAAGGGAAAAAGTTAACTGAGAAGGGACAAGTGAGGATGGGAGTAACCCAAGGAAGTTGAAGGGAAAGCAGTCTTAAATGGGCTATCAGCCGTTGGGAGGACAGACCCTGGTAAGAAGTTTAGGGTGGGTAGAGTACAGGTAGATTTTGAGGAGAGAATCCCAGGGCAGTCCTG